GTAAAAACAAGAACCACATGTTAACTGGGCTCAGTGATTCAGCCTGTAATCCTGCACTTTGTTAGGCTGAGGTGAGTGGATTGCCTGAGCCCTCGGGGTCGAGACCTGCCTGGGCAACTTGGCGAGCCCTCATCTCTACAATAATTCAAACTATTAGCCGGGTGTGGTAGCGCGCACCTGTAGTTCCAACTACGTGGAAGGCTGAGGCGGAAGGATCGCCGGAGCCCAGCGGGTCGTGGCTGCAGTGGCCGGCAGTGGCCACTGCACTCGTCTGGGCGACAGAGTGAGACTCCAACTCCAAAAAAAAAAAAATCTTCATAAACCTTACTTTGGGGAAGGTAGTGACCCTTGTCCTGCTGGGCGCTTGATCCTTGATCTGCCCACCTGGACTGAGGGCTGCTGGTCCCATCCTGGGGTGGCCCCTGTCACACGCACAGAGTGTGCATGGAGCAGGCACATGAGGAAGCCCACAGGAGAAAGGGAATTGGGGACAGGTGCTGGGGGGAGCGTCAAGCCCGCCCCCATGTCTGTGTTCCTGTCAGAGACAAGTAGTTCTCAGCCTTTGTCCTCTTGTGACAAACATTGCTAGGCTAAGTTTTTATTTCTTTTTTTTTTCCCTAAACGGAAAAATCAATAGAGTCAACCCAGCACTTAGGAAGCCCTTTATGGGTTTGCGATCCCTTGGAGCCAGGGGGCTGTTGGCCCTGCAGGAGCCAGACATGCGCTGTGCCTGCCCTCACGGTCCGGCCTGCTCTTGGCCCCAGGGATTGGTCAGCAGCTTTCCCCAGACACCCTGGGAGTGCCCAGCAGGGTGGAACACATTGGGAAACCAACACCCAGAGCCACAGGCAAGTATTCCTGGAGCTGAAAATAGTTCTGGAAACGTGCCAGGGGGACACAGGATGGGACATGCACTCTGGCTCCCTGGCCAGGCTTCTGGGCCGGTATTGGGGGAAGGGACACCCAGCCCTGCCCTGGGTGGGCATGAAGAGGCTTGGGCCAAGGGGTCTCAGATGAATATACTCCCACGCCTGGCAGCTGGCCTGTGGTGGCAGAAGCCAGAGCTGGAAGCCGGCCATCTTGGAAGACAGCCCAAGGCCCATGTGCCCTCTTGGCCTCTGGCCCCGGAGTGCGGATGGGGATGTGGAGGTTGCTGATGGAGCACTTTTCTGAGCTATTGAGTCAGGAGTAGAGGGATCCCACAGTATAGGGAAGCCAAGCAGCGTTGCACAAAAGGGGTGCTGGGCTTGGGAGGGGGTCCCCACATTCACAAACCCACCCAGGTCGGCCGCTCCTGGGTTAGACGCTACACCAGGATGGGCTTGGCCCTTCTTTCTTCTTCCTCTTCCCTCCTTCCTGCTCCCAGAAGAGCCTTGCTTGGGGGGCGGGAGGTGGGAGAGGGGACTGAGAGCCTGAGTATCCTCAAACTGCTGTTTTCCTTACAGCTAAGAGGCCAGTGTCGCCATATAGTGGGTACAATGGACAGCTGCTGACCAGTGTGTACCAGCCTACCGAGATGGCCCTGATGCACAAAGGCCCGGTGAGTGGGTCTCCGGGTTCCCATGACCCTGCTGGGGCCTACAGGACCCAGCCCCAGCAGGCCGGGGTTGGGAGAGGCAAGCCGTGTGATTCCAGCTCTCACACCCCTTTCCTGGAGTGGAGATGCCCACCTCTATTGACTGCACTGCAGCGGGCTCTGCCCCAGGTCAGTGGGCGTCACACATAGCCGGGGGCGATGCCACAGAGACGCAGCCTGAGCTCTCACTGAGCTGGTAGGCTTTACCCTCGAGAGCTTGGGGAGGGATGGAGGGTCTCAGCCGGGTGCTCCCACCTGACCAGGATAAGATGTAGCAGGTCTGGGTAGGTATTAGCTTCTCAGTCACGGCTGTCCTGGGTGGGCCCCCGCCTCCCCTCCCCGACCAGCAGGCAGCGTCTCGACCTTACACCTCCCCTGGGTTCTGGAAACCAGATGCTCCTTCAGCCAAGGGAGCGGGGTGGGAACAGGAAGACGGTGGGTCGGATTCTACTCTATATATGTTCCTCCTCCGGGCTGGCAGTGGGGGCGGGGAGAGGTCAGTGACCTGTCTTGGCAGGATGCTGGGAACAGGAAACAAGGAGGTCAGCAGGGTGGCGTTCTCACCCCCCTCCCGGCCTCTCCGTGAGCCCTGGGGCAGGGGAAGGCCAGTGTGTCTGAAGCTTCCAGCCCCAGCTCCTTCCGTCTCCCTAAGCTTCAACCTGTGGCGGGAGCTGTGATGGGCAGAGCAGAGTTTCCCCAGGACCTCAGGAGTGGAGGTTGCAGGCCACCAACCCCGGGGAGTGGGAAATGCAGAAGCCTTTTCTCAGCTGCCCCCACATGGGTGCCCTCACGGCCCGGTGTGTTTGGAGTCCTTCTTTCTTCCCCAGCAGAATAAATGCAGACTAACAGGGATATTTTATTGGGCTGGCTCTCCAAACGTAGACCCCCGACCATCGGCATTTGGACTGCCTGGGAACGTGCTGAAAATGCTGATGGGCTGGGGCCCGCGCTGGGATGGAGCCAGCTGTTGGCTCCCTGCGTGACATTGCCACCGTGGGAGTGACTACCCAAGGTGGATCTGCAGATCCTACAAATCAGGGCTCCCTCCTCCTACCCCACTTGTTACCAGCCCCACCCCTGGGTAGGGCCCAGCTATGAGTAGGGATGGCTTAACATGCAGTCTGGGTGATTCTGGTGCATACCCAAGGTGTGAGACCAGGGACCACACAGGAGTGGGCCATGGCTCACAGGTGAGAGGAACTCCTGGGTCTGGTGGGATCGAAGGCTGGTTGGGTTCCTGAAGTTATGGAGGTTTGGAGGCGGCTCTTTCCCACAGGTCTAAGGCAGGTGGGGCCAGGAGTACACCTTCCTCCAGGGTGGGAGTGACGACCTGGCTGGCATCTCTCACCACACAGGAGCAGGACCTGGTTCTCGGCAGATAATTTGGGTTTTAAGACTCCACATTAGGGCTGCGTGTGGTAGTTCACACCTGTAATCACAACTCTTTTTGAGGCCAAGGTGGGAGGATCGCTTGAAGCCCGGAGTTCAAGACCAGCCTGGGCAACATAGCGAGACCTCGTCTCTACAAAAGATTAAAATTGTGAAAAGAAGATGCCCATGCCAGTCATGGTGGCTCAAGCCTGTAATCCCAGCACTTTGGGAGGCTGAGACGAGAGGATTCCCTGAGCCCAGGGGTTCGAGACCAGCCTGGGCATCTTGGTGAGAGATCAAAAAATTAGCTGGACATGGTAGCACGCACTTGTAGTTCCAGCTACTTGGAATACTGAGGCAGAGGGAGCGCTTGAGCCCAGCAGGTGGAGGCTGTGGTGGCTGTGAGCGTGCCACTTGCACTCCAGCCCGGATGACAGAGTGAGACTCTGACTCAAAAAACAAAAACAAAAAAACAAAAGAGAGAAGACTCCCAATCAGACTCCTAGACAGAAATATGTGGGCCTTCCTGGGAGCTAGCAGAGGGGTGTCCTTGGCCAGGAAAACCAGCAGCTATGATGCTGTCGGGTGTCTTAGTGACATTTAGAGGACTTGGGGTAAGATTCTTGGAGATTCCAGCTACTTGGAAGACTGAAAGATTGCCTAAGCCCAGCAGGTCGAGGCTGCGGTGTCCAGGAGCGTGCCACTGACCTCCAGTCTGGGTGACAGAGTGAGACTCCAACTCCAAAAAAAAAATTCTTGGAGAAATGGCAGCTGGGAGCTTTACCAGCCAAGAGTAGGCTGACCCTCCTCTGGCCTGGTTTCCCTAAGGTTCGGAAGCAGGAGGGGGCTTGAGAAGAGGAGCCCCCTCTGTGAAGCCCCGGGGTCACTCCAGCTGCCCAGGGGCTGGAGGTCAGAGGTCAGAAGTGGAATCATTATTGCAGGCACCCCTGGGGCCTGGCCAGAGGGGGGGAGCTGGCAGGCACAGCCCTGCAGGAAGCAGAGTGTTTGTGCATCCGCCCCAGTGGAACCTGGCTTCCGATCCCCCGACTGTGAGACCGCCTGTTCTTCCTTCCAGGCCGAAGGAGCTTACGACGTCATCCTCCCACGGGCCACCGCCAACAGCCAGGTGATGGGCAGTGCCAACTCCACACTGCGGGCCGAAGACATGTACTCGGCCCAGAGCCACCAGGCAGCCACCCCGCCGAAAGACAGCAAGAACTCTCAGGTCTTTAGAAACCCCTACGTGTGGGACTGAGTCAGCGGCACCAGGAGAGGCGGGCGGATCAGGGGAGGGCCCTCGGGACCCGGGGGAGGAAATCTCCAGGCCGCCCCCACCCCCTCACGGGCTCAGGGCAGCTCGTGCCTCAGAGCCGTGAGGCCCTCCCTTTCTGCCAGGGTCTGGGTGGGTGTCTTGGGTGCCCCCACCCACTCCTCAGTGTTTGTGGAGCCTGGGCGCCAACCTCAGCTTCAGGCCAGGGTCACCTCGGCGGTCATGCTCCAGCCAAATAGTGTTCTTCTTGGGGTGGTGGCTGGTCGGCGCCTGCATTCTCTGCAGATTCCTGCAACCTCGAGAGATTTCACAGGCACTTCGGGCCTGGGTCTTGCTCCTCCGTGAGGAACAAGGTATCTAATAAATATGTTTCTGCTTTATTAACTCCTGCTCTTGGGATTGTGGTTTCTGACCTGGGCTCTTGGCTTCCCGTGGACCTCTTTTCCACGTGGCCTGTGGGTGATTCTTCTGTCTCCTCCCTCCAAATCCAAGTCACGTTTAAAGCTGCTGTAGCCTTTTCCTTTGAGGCCTCCACACGATGAAGGATTGATTCTTTAGCGGATCCTCTGTTGTGTGCAGCCAGAATAACCATCTGGGCCCAACTTGTGCCTCGGATGCAGTCCCACCTCTGGGCTCATCTGTCTCTGCACCCCCCCCCAATGGCTGTGGGGCCAGGAGAGGGAAGGTGGCCCATGAGCAGGTAGGTCTGTGTGTAAGGGAAGATCAGCTAATTTCAGCTCCTCTTAGAGGATGGTGGTGAAGATCCCTTGGGGAACACGTGCTGAGATCATGCCATGCAGTGTGTGGAAGGGAATGGCCCAGAGAGCTCCAGAAGTTGTTTACAAAGTGGGTTCACAAAGGTGCAAAGGATTGGACCCGTCCTGGTTGGCAATTAAAATGTCCATTTCAGCCAGGCTCGGTGGCTCAGCCTGTAATCCCACGCCTTTGGGAGGCTGAGGTGA